AGACTTTGTATCAGCCTTTTTAAGGGACGGGTGGTTTCGCGTATTTCTGTGTCCACTGTTTGGCCGTTTTGTTGAACTTCTGTCGGTCTCTCATATAAACTCCGGCGGCTTCTGTCCAAAAGGGGTTTTCCAGGAAGGGGTCGGCCATCAGCTGCTGTATGGACAACAACACCTGTCCAATGTTTAGGGCTGAACTCCAGTGGCTGGTTATGGTGTCCAGACATATGGTACCCGTGGGCTGTATGTTGGGGTGATATATACGGGTCTTCATCCAAATCCTGGGCGCACTGAACGGAAAGTCCTGCGGAAACTCAATGGACAGTCGAAATAGGCCGCCCGCGTAGGGCGTGTCGGGCGGGCCCTCAATGGTGGCCTCCCAGTGAAACATGTCGGTGCCCGGGGGTACCGGTGCGGCCGCACAGCCCGGCACAGGATTTCTGCGCAATTCCTGTAAGTCTTTGTGGATTCGCTTCAATGCAGTCATTGTTTCGCCGAAAACCCTTTGGATGTCTTCGTGTGGTCTTCGAGTCAGCCCTTGTTTTGGACACAAATTGTTTCTTTTAGTGTCGCTTCGGACTCTCAACCGATTTTTGACTTAAGTTTTTGGTAAAATTTGAAACCAAAAAATGGCTAACTTTTTGAAACAATCATCTAAAATAGTAAAATGTTTTGCATACTTAGAAAATTATATAACAATCAAATATAGAGTACTGTAGTCCAAAGTATTCAGGCAGTTATATTCGAAAATTACCTGGAACAAAGCTTCTAATAGTATAAATTTGTATTATTTCTTAGTAGTCTATATAATAGCTCAGAATTTACTTCAAATAAACAGTTTACTACAGTATATAATGATTACTATATGTAGTTTAGTATACTGTATAATGTTTTCTTATAAAGAGATTCAATCAAAAACTATAAAATAACTACAAATCTATAGTTTTACTAAAATTTTTACTTTGATTTTGGTTTTAATATCAAATAAATATGCTAATCAAACCCTACATAAAACCAAAACTAAATCCCTTTCCACTAGTGTAGACCCGATTGACTACAGGTGTGTCATCTGGTCCTCACTCTCACTCCCACTGCTCTCAATGTCCTCATTGCCCGGGTATTGAGAAACCAGGAGTTCCTGAGCCCTGACTCTGGAAATAGTGGTGGGAACTGGACTTCTGATCAATTCATTGTAGGCCGGGGGTGGGATGGGATCTGTTTGTGTACCAAAAGACCTCGTGAGGGCCGGGGTCTGAGTACCTCTGCTATTGCGAGTGGGTTGGGCGGGTTGGTAGGGCTCTGTTTGAGTACCTCTGGACGTACGAGTGGGTGGAAAGGCCTGTGTCTGTGTACCTCTGCCGGTAGGGACCGGTCTGAGTGCCAACACTCACTCCAAGTGGACGCCTACTCGTCGGACTTGTAGAGGCTGAGTGAGTGCCCGGACGTCGCGCGGGACCACTGGGAGGGGTAGCCGATAGCCTACTGGAAGGGCCTGGACTACCAGAGCGTTGTTGAGGTGTACCGGGAGGTGTGAACGATAGCCTACGAGCCGAGTGTGGACTCTCTGTTTGCGTTGACGCGAGTCTGGGAGGTTTGGGTGGAGGCGCGAGCGCCTGTCGCATGCTATCGGCCAACGCCTGGGCCTCGGACTGCGACACAAACGACAGGCCCACCAGACGATTGATCGCCAGTTCCCGGTATATCTGAAATGTGGACGAAAACTGTTGGTGTTGTATGTCGGGCAGCACCTGCTGTTGACTGACAATCTGCCACCCGGTACCAAACACCAAACACCACGATATCGTCGACACCGCCGGTGTAGCTGTGGACCAGACACACGACTGCCCGCGATTTGTGGCCCCAAACCTTGTGCCCGGGCTGCTCCCTGTCCTCAGCGCCTTCGTACAGGTCGACCAATGCGGTGGGCAGGGATATACATCCCGTCCCCAACAAACTGAATATGAGTTGGTTCTCAGTGTCCGACATCTCATCCGAGCGCCTGTGGTTTTGGGTCATCTCTAGAGGTATGTCTGTGTCTGTGATATGTGGTCGGAAAGCAGTGGTAACTCAATAGTAGGTTTTATTTTAGGGATTAAACTTGTTTTTAATTTTCAATATTTTTAACCAAGGTTCATTATTAGTATAATTTTAATCATTTCTATTTAATACATTTTGGAAATAACTATTATTTAATCAATTGTTTAATTTTCAAGTGTTTAAAATAAATTCAATTATTTTTATTGTGTGTCTTAAGATGTCCATTGAAGTGTTGTTTTGTATTAAAACTTTTGCCACAATTATGTTCATTACATTTGTATTTTCTCTCATTTAAATGAACATTATGTTTGTGTTGATTCAGATTTGATTTTGCACTAAATGTTTGCTTACATTCACTCCAATCGCAAACAAATCTTTTTTTGATGTGAATGCTATTTATATGTGTAACTAAATTGCAGTTATAAGTGAATCTTTTGTCGCATCCATTGAAATGACAAACAAATGGCTTTTCACCCGAATGTTGGCGTTTGTGTCGATTGAGTCCATGTTTTGATGTAAAACTTTTGCCACAGTTTTGTAGATTACATTTAAATCTCTTTACATTCAAATGAACGCATCTTTTATGTTCAATTAAATGCTGTTTTTTCGTAAATTGTTTGTGACATTCAATCCAATCGCGTACATATCTCACATTTAGGTGACACTTATTTTTATGTACATTTAAGTATGCTGTATTGTTAAATGTTTGAGTACAATCAATAAAATCGCATTTATATTGTTTTATAGCTAAATGATTTAACTTATGGTTATTAAATGATTGTTCACTTTTAGTTTTGAAGTGACATTTAGGCCAAAAACAGTGGAAATAGTGATAAGTGTTGAGTGTATTAATGGTGTTGTGATTGGAA